TGGGAGCTGGGCAGAGGAAAAACGAGCAAAGAACAGGTCGTTTTTGCTCATTTTCGCCCCCCTCCAGTCCCCAGGAGCACTCTACAAGCCTCCCAAAGCCTCTGCATGCCTCCCCCCCCTTTTTGTTTTGCAAAAAACGAGGCGTGCAGAGGGTTTGGGAGGCCTGCAGAGTGCAAAAAGTTTTTTTAAAATTTACCTCTTCAAAATCATGGTGCGTCTTATACTCCGGTGCGTCATATAATCCCAAAAATACAGCATGTTGATAAGTGAGAAGTTTGTGAAGTGAGTTTTGCTCCATTTTACGTCTTTCCTTGCCACATTAGAATATAGAATGGCAGAGTTGGAAGGGACGTTGGAGGTCTTCTAGTCCAACCCCCTGCTCATGCAGGAGACCCTACAACACATCAGACAAATGGACATCCAACCTCTTCTTAAAAACTTCCAGTGTTGGAGCATTCATAACTTCTGGAGTCAACTTCTGTTCCACTGATTAATTGTTCTAATTGTCAGGAAATTCCTCCTCAGTTCTAAGTTGCTTCTCTCCTTGATTAGTTTCCACCCATTACTTCTTGTCCTGCCCTCGGGTGCTTTAGAGAATAGCTTGACTCCCTCTTCTTTGGGGCAGTCCCTGAGATATTGGAAGACTGCTATCATGTCTCCCCTAGAGATTCACTTAACATTGTTCAAGCAACGTTAACCGAGATTAATAACATCGCTTAACATTGGTTAGGCGAATCACTGCAATTGTTAAATTACACAGTTTTGTTAAGCGAATCTGGTTTCCCCATTGACTTTGCTTGTCGGAAGGTCACAAAAGGGGGAATCATGTTACACTGCAACCGTCATAACTACAAGTCAGTTGTCAAGCATCTGAATGTAAATGACATGACTATGAGGCATGCTGCGACGGTCCTGAATGTGAAAAACAGTCCTGTCACTTTTTTCCAGTGATGTTATAACTTGAAAAGGTTACTAAATGAGCTATTGTAAGTCAAGGTGTCTGGGTTCCAAATAGCATCCAAAAATAAATCAAGAGTCCAAGGCGAAATATTGCTCAAAGTCCCAATTTATTAAGAGAGCCACGTTGGCACATCTGGGAAAACTTGAATCTGAAAGTTTCCCGGTTTTCCCCACCCAGTTGAAAGTTCCAAGATCTTTCTCCCACACCCACCAGTCCATCCCATGGTCCAATCTTCCACTGCCATGAAGACAGATTCCTCCCATCCAGTTCCGTTGAGGTACAGAAGTGCAGGGACAAAGGATGACCTTGGTTTTCTAGAAAGAATTTTGTTTTGACTACATAGCATCTCACTCCTTACAATCCCCTCCTCCCATTTTCCCACAATAGAAAAGGCATAGTAGAATAATAGAAGGCGTGGCAGGCCAAAGACCCAAAAGAAAAATGACTGCAGGCCTGACACAAGGAACACCTGTACTGCAAATGTGGTCACCCTGATGTCCTCATCGGTTGTTGTTTTGACAGGCTCACTATTCCACCGGTAGAGTCAGCGCTTCGTTCACATCCACAGCCATGGCGCCTGAGACGACCCACGAAGCAGGTAAAATGGACGTCGAGAGGCAGCTTTTGTTCCTCTAATTAAATTGTTCTCACTGTCAGGAAATTTCTCCTTAGGTCCAGTTTGCTTCTCTCCTTGATTAGTTTCCACCCATTGCTAATTGTCCTGCCTTCAGGTGCTTTGGAGAATATAGCTTGACTCCCTCTTCTCTGTGGAAACCCCTGAGATATTGGAATCAGGTCTCCCCTAGTCCTTCTTTTCATTAAACTACACATACCCTTAAACCGTTCTTCATATGCTTTAGCCTCCAGTCCCCTAATCAGCTTTGTTGCTCTTCTCTGCACTCTTTCTACAAGTTTTCAACATCTCTTTTACAGTGTGGCGACCAAAACTCCTTGAAAATATTGCTTCTCTCAATGTTAAGCAGTTTTTCCCTAATGTTAATTCTGAAATCTGCCTTTTTGTACTTTAATTCCACAAGTTTGCACTCTGGGAAGGTTGAAATCATATGAATCCAAAACCTCTAAAATCTTGGAGCTGGCTGATTTATAAACCTCATATATCATTTTTAATAATAATAATAGTAATACCCTGTTTCCTTGAAAATAAGACCTCCCCGGATAATAAGCCCAATCGGGCTTTTGAGCGCATGGGCTAAAATAAGTCCTCCCCCTAAAATAAGCCCTCCCCCTAAAATAAGCCCTCCCCCTAAAATAAGCCCTCCCCGAAAATATTGCTGCTTCTCAATGTTAAGCAGTTTTTCCCTAACATTAATTCTGAAATCTGCCTTTTTGTACTTTAAAACTCATATATCATTTTTAACAACAACAATAATAATTTATTAATCATTATTATTAGTCGGGTGGGGCCTGACTAGTAATCAATGCCAAATCCGGCGAAACAACTGGCCACTGTTATACAATTGTGTTGTGATAATAATAATGATAATAATACCCTGTTTCCCTGAAAATAAGACCTCCCCGGATAATAAGACCTCCCCAAAAATATTGCAACACAGCAGCAGCCACGAGGTGACCCTGCTTGCCTCCTCCTGCACCTCAAAAGTAATAAGACCTCACCAAAAATAAGGCTAAGCGCTTATTTCGGTGAGTCAAAAGAAAATAAGACCATGTCTTATCTTGCGGGAAACACGGTAGATATATCGATGCTAAGTGGCAAGACCGTTAGTTCACTGCAAAGGGTGTGCTACCCATTAAACCAGCCTTAAGAGAGAGGGAGGAAGGCGGGTGGTTTAGAAGAAGGAAACGTAAATAAACAAGAAGGCATAACTTGAAACCATGTGACTTCGGTGAACAGCTGCCATTGATGACGACGTGGTACGGTACCGGTATGTCAAGAAGAAAGGTTACATCCGGCTGCACACTAACAAAGGAGACCTCAACCTGGAGCTTCACTGCGACATGGTAAGGAGTTAGTCGGCTCGTTACCGTTGGGTGCCAAGTCTTCAAAATGGTCCTTCAGGTGCTTCAAGGCAGATGGTCCTATAAATAGCCATAGGCATTAGACTTACCGTATATACTCAAGTATAAGCTGAGTTTTTCAGCCCACTTTTTGGGCTGAAAAAAGCCACCTCGGCTTATA